CTGGGCCCGTGAGCCATGGCCGCTGAGCCTGCGCGTCCGGAGCCTGTGCTCCGCAACGGGAGAGGCCACAACAGTGAGAGGCCCGCGTACCGATAAAAAAAAAATAAAAAAAAAAATAAAGAGAATCTCAGTCCATTGCAAGATTTTAAAAAACACAGGTGTTTTTGCTTGAGGTAGGCTGTCTAGATCTGAGAAAATTATAGGCTTGAATAAATTTGGGAATTTACTTACCATTATATATACCATCATTATACTAGATCTGGAACCAACACCTTAGTATGAGAAGCTGTTGTCTTTAACAGCTGGGTTTGGGGAGAAGCTTGGTATTGGGCTTAACAATGGGTAATCAGGTAATCGTGGAAATAGGATGGTGTAAAAGGTTCTTTGCCAATGATAGTGGAGGCAATGATGGAAAACAAAGACTGTGATTCCAGAGCAAATGCTATATGCAGCCAAACACTAAGTTTTGGGCAGTGATGGGTTTTACTAACACATTCGTGGCTATTAAGAAAATAGTTTATTAGAAAAAAATTCTATAGAAAAAGAACTATATTATGACTCTGATATTGTCAAATCCCTAACCCCTTTCTTCTAGTCAAGCAATTGTTTTTTATATCATGCCTTTTGATAATGTAAAACTTCTTATGAATACAATTCCTTCGTTATAGCAGAACGGATGGTAAACTGCAACAAAGAGACAAGTAAATTTAGTTCTTATTTAAGAGGCATAAAAAAACTTCATGCAAGACCCTTAATTACTTAATTACCAAGGAGAACCTGGAGAGACAGAGCTGCAAGGATTCCCCAGTCAGAGAAAAGGACGGCCTTAGAGTAGGGTCTGGATTTTCACAGAGGAGGAAAAAGAGGGATGCATATATGGCCACTAGAAGACCAAGTTCAGATGCCTTCCTAAAACGCTAGAAAAGCTCCAGTGAAGCCAGACCTTTAGATCGAGGAGAGCTGGCTAGTGAGGCAGAGTCACAGATGAAGTTACAATTTACATGAGGCACAGCTGTCAAACTCCAGAAGGGCAAAGTGAGAAGAAATCACAGCCGTTCAATAAAAATTTAATCAATACGTACAGTGTGTGTTGCATGCTGGTAATGGTAGGCCCCGCTCCCAGCAAAAAAGAGACAGCCCACCCTTGTGGAGCGTATTGGCTTGTGTAGAAGACAGGCTTTAACCAAAGAATCACACAAATATATGGAAACTTGAAACAGTAATGAGGGCTAAGAAAGAGAGGTGTGTGATGTTAGGAGCCTGGATAGGAGGGAAAATGGGTCTGGCTGAGGATGGGGATTGGCCTCGAAGTACAGGAAAGAGAAAGAGAGGGCAGAACCCTGCAGCCAGAGCGGACACATGTGGTGAAGGAGAATGCACAGCAAAGAACTGAAAGAAGGCCAAGGCAGCCTGAACTCAGAAAGCCGGGAGCAATGGCAGCGAGACTGGTGGCATGCAGGGGCCAGACCTGGGAAGGCTTGGGATGCATCCTAAAGGCAACCGGAAGTCACAGAAAGCTTTTAAGCTAAAGGGTGAAGTGACCAGACTTGTATTTGCAACAGGCGCCTCTGACCTCTGAAAGGAGTCAGGGGACTAGAGGGCATTTGGGGAGACCATTTAGAAATCTATTATAATCTTCTAGGCAAGAGATGATGTTAGCTGTGAGCAGGTAAAGAAATGCCCTTTCCATTCAGGAACCAGATCACTGGGAGCACAGCTGTGATGACAGGCAGATAACAGTCTAAAGAAAGTAAGAATCTCACGAACAGAGTGGCATGGGTGCCAGCTCAAAATGACCACAGGATACTCTCTGAATATATTAGTCTAGCACTAAGTCAAGGAGTGAAATACGAAAAACAGGCCTAAGATCTATGATCTATAAGTCAAGTTAATCTGCAATTATGAGATAGACTGGGATCTGGGACCCTTTACCAGAGTGCTTGCACCTGGACAAACGTCTCCTCAAGCAACAGAATGCAAAGAAACGATACAGGACTAAAACCAACTAACTGCACACACGCACAGTGGGAGCAAATTATGAACAATAAGATACAAAAAGGCCACAAACCAACTGCCATTTCTGAGGTGTCGGAAGCAAAAGCAGGGTACTGCGCATGATTCCTGCACACAGCACCACCAAGGGGTGCGCAGACCACCTAAACTACACCTCCCAGCCAACCCACCAGTCCACCTCCAGCCTCACCCCTTTTAAGGAGCCAGGAAACCAACGGCACCTGTTACTTGTTTTCGCTCCCTCATGCTGCAGCATGAGTCCTGATAAGGTCTTGCCTGAAATTCTCCTCTGGCCTCTTATCAATTTCTATGGATTAAGAGTCCAAGGGCCCAGGTGAGTAACAATTAGACTCAGGATCTCTAATCAAGTTCCTTCTAAAAATACCAATCTCATCTGAACTAAAGAAGAAAGAGGTTTATCAACTTCTAGGCCTGGATAGCTAGGCACAGGGAAATCAAGTCCCTTGATTAAGCGTTCACATGTTTGTCGAGTTATTGTACAAAATCAGTGTTGTGGAGCGATTTCTAGAAAGTTCAGTGAAGATAAAGCAGCCAATTGAAATCTTAGTAGAAACAGATCTGAGGGCAGCACCAATTACCAATGCATGCCCACTAGAGACTTAACCTCACATCAGCATGGGAAGTAACCTTTGTATTTGTTTTTTTTTTTTTTTTTTTCTTGCGTTACGCGGGCCTCTCCCTGCTGTGGCCTCTCCCATTTGCGGAGCACAGGCTCCGGATGCGCAGGCTCAGCGGCCATGGCCCACGGGCCCGGCCGCTCCGCGGCATGTGGGATCCTCCCGAAACGGGGCACGAACCCGCGCCCCCCGCATCGGCAGGCGGACTCTCAAGCACTGCGCCACCAGGGAAGCCCTGTATTTGTTTTTAAAATTTGATAATATCCGAACTTATTTAAATCACCTCAGCCCCCAAATAACGTCCCCACCAACCAAGCTAAAATTGGCCCATGGGCACAAAATCAAGCCAGTCACAGTCCCTGCCCTGCAGCACACACACCCAAGGCACTGAACAACAAGAAGTCTCTGTTCTCATCCTGAGATTCCTGGAAAATCGGCTACGGCTTTATGGACTGTGGGTAAAGGGATCACAGGAGAAGATGAGGAAGCCCTCATCACACCAATAAGGAACACACGGGGAGAGGCATTCTGATCACCAGACACTCCAGAGGTGCTAGCCCAGCCCTGACAGGCCAAGCATGGGCATCAAATGGAGACCACCATGGACACTCCACTTTGGGTGTTGGCCAACAATTCTGGAACTTCCAGGATCTGAAGTATCTCCAAAGCCTGGGCCATTCCTGATACACCAAGGAAGCCAAAGGACCTGCAATATTCTGCTATGGGACTTGGTTCAGCGTGGACCCACGAGTAGAATGGAGGGAGGGGCGTCACTCAAGAAGTCTGGGACTGGAATCCGTTTCCTTGGATCCAGATTTATAAAACAGGGTGAATAGGAGAAAAGTAAAAATCAAAATTTTGAGGTGGGGAACAAAACATCAGTGTATACCAGAGTAGGAAATTAAGTCATCTCTTTCAGGCAAAAATAAAAACTTCTAGGACAAAGCCATATCTATTGAAACAGTCATGCTTGAGCTTAGTTGGATCTAATCCAAAGGACAATTAGATATTTTACTGATGGACTTGGTAGAGGTGACCTGTATTTTCTTCACGGTGAACTTAAGCTTCTTTTCAGGGGGAAACGTCTGATGAGTGGCAAATTTTTTACAATGCTCCAAATTCCTGCCTGATCTTTGTTAACATATACTGTAACTCATATACATTTAATTTTGTATTCTACTCTCACTTAATTTTCACATGTGTACATTTCCA